AAAAATCTGCCCAGATTTGGCTGTTACTTCCCAAAACCAGCCAGAGTTCCCTCAGGTTTCACCCAGCGTGGGGATTCTGTCTCAGCCTCCAGAGTGTAATCTCCAGTTCTGTAATCTGAAAGCAAAATAAGCTTTGATTTTTAACCAAAAACAGTAGTGGGCCAGATTAACACCCCTACCACCAAACTATGCCATTCTTGAAAAAAAACCTCATTGGCTGCCTGGCCTGCACACAAGGTTTTATTCTGTGACAGATACTCATGGTGTCTCCTGACCAAGTCAAAAAAGCTGACAACTTCACTGGGTGTTTGTGGTCAAGTCCAGCAAAGTCACCCTGACACAGCCCACAGCTCTTTTAGGATGGTAGTCGTGGCTGAACAATGAAGTCTCTCTTCAGGAGTAAACTACTGGGAAGAACAAAACAAAACAAAAACCACCATGAAAAAAAAGATTACTTTACCTCTTTTCATGTGCTGCCTTCTCATGCTTTTGCCTTGACTCCTGAGAGCTCTCCAGATGGACAGGAAGAAATTCCAAGCTGTTTGATGTAGGTCTGTTTCAAGATAGGGAAGTGCATGAGTGAAAGCCTGGAGTGCAGCAACACTTGTCACCAGGTACTAACACATTGCTTGTCTTCCAAAACCATCCTTAAAACACGTACATAAACCCATCCCTGCAGTCAAGCTATTGTCCAGTCCTTCCAGATCCAAGGGGGCACCTCTGCAGGTGTTTAGGAAAATAAATGTTTGGCAGCAACAAACAGTATTTGTTAAGAAGTCTGCAGTGGTTTGCTAAGATGGAACCACAAGGAGCCCTAAATACAATGTCATTATTGTTATTTGATGTTCAATACAGGTTGTTATTTTGGTGTTCAAAGTTCTGCAGTATTAGGGACCTGGGATGATGATCATGGTGTGTGGCCTTCACTGCAGGGGATTTTTTTGTAAAGCTAATGCAGAAGGGAACACACTGATCAATGATCTGCAATTTAAAAAACCTAAATATGCCTTGAGAACCTCCAACAAGTGGGGGTGAAAGCACCAGGTTTACGTCTCTCTTGAAAAGCAGATCTTGAGAAGCACATGGAAATATAAGGATTTGTCCCACAGGGTTTCAATTTTTAAAACAAACAAACAAACAAAAATCCACAAATAAAACATTCTGTAGGGATCCCAGCAGGGCAGAAACAGCAATTTGATTAATTTTTTCTTAGTTAAGAATAGCTAGGTCTAAATTTTTGGACTGTTCCATGCAGATCTGATGTTATTGAATAAGGCCCTCACCATCTCCAGAGCAGAACCCCAGTCAGGGCTGTACCTGTGGCAAACTGGATAGTTCTGCTCAGTCCTTGCTGGCTTAGACTTGACAGGCTGAGGAAGCTGATCCCTTCTCTTTGCTCTCTCAACTGTTTCAAAACAGACACAATTATTTAATTACTGACTAAATACAAAGCAAGTCCATTTGTTAACACCTCTGTCTGCAGTAGTAGAACAGGTAACTAACCCAAACACAAGCATTCTCTTCAGATCAACAGGATCTGCTTCCCCTCCAAATAAAAAGGGGAAAAAAAAATACAACAATTAAACAGATCAAGTGTTTTCCTTGGACTTTTCACCAGCATCTGCCTTTATTTTCCCAGCAGCAACACTCTGATTTATTTTACTTTTCCTGGTAACCTCCTTCCATGGACAGGAAATTCAGTAGTTAATTTGAATTCATGCCTTGTACAAGGAAGTGCTGGGAAGTACTTCCCACTACTATTGTCTTTACAATAATGAGACATGAGATAATGCCTGGCAAAGGTGATGCTGGCAGATAAAAAGTGACAGGCAAGAGAACCACCAGACAGCAGGGGACATCTTTGGTTGCCTCATCTTTCAAGGTGTACTCCTTGTCTGCAAGAACACTGCAGCAACCAGCAGCCTGCCCTTCCCACTCACTGCAGCACGAGGTCCTCTCTGCCCAACCCCAAAGTGAAGCCATCAGCAGGTACCAAGGTGCAGATTACCAAGTCCTGCCTATTCAACTGTCTAAACCAAACCCATCAGTGAAGGAAAAGCAAGAGAAAAAGTGAATTTGTGTGCATCCTGCTTCCATACAAACACTGGAGAGAGTCAATGGGTTGGTAATTTCACATCAGGTTTTGCACGTGGTTTCTCTTCAGGAGGGCACTATTTTCTAGGCAACTTGTGTCAGAAGGAAGAATGAGCTCACACTTACTGGTTACTGGGGCAGTTGGCTTTTCAGGCCTTACCTTCCAACAGCTCAGAAACTTCTAGACAACAGCAGTTCACTAATATCTGTGAAGGAGGCAGCTTCTTATCTACCTTTCTTGCCATTTAATAAAGATGAAACTCACAAATGCCACTGGCATCCTGTACCTGCACAGACTGCAAGATCAGACCATTGCTCAACTCCTGCCTCCACAGCCTGATGGGGAACAGTGCCACCTGTCACTTCTTGAGACAGCACCTCACACTCCTGCTGTGGATTTTCAAGTGTTGCCTGATTGTAATTCTGCTGAGAGTCTAAGAACTTCAATCTTTTGGTCAGTGACTTTTATAACTTCATTTCTCTTGTTCAGCCCATCTGAAAAGAAAGAAGACAAGGTGTCTGTGAGAAAACAGCTCAGATAGTGCTATGCCATTTTCTTTTTAAGTCTCAGAAATAATTTAATCCCTTCTTTTAAAATCATGTGATTCAGAAATGGATGCTGGTGTTGGACACACTCTGGAGCAGGGCTCCCTGCTACCCAGGTCAGCTGGAATATGAGCTGTGTGGTGACCTCTGAGCTAGAGCTGCCACACAAAAGCCTGTGCAGAGCTGCCAGACAATTAGCTGGGTGGCTTGTGGATGGTGTCAGAGCTGTGCAGCAGAACCTCAGGGCACAGGGCTCTTCACTGCACCAGCATGTTCACAGATTGTTCTCTTCCCCCACATTTGTTTCCTTAGATTCTTTTTTTTTTTTTAAAGAGTCCACAGAAGCAATTTACGTATTCAAAGGAGAAAGAGCAATCTGGTTACCCTATCTCTTCTGATCAGATCACCTCATTGCAGATTTGACCTCAGAAGGCAGCTAAATTTAAGGCAGAAGGGTAGGAAATGGTTCCTTTTATGATGCAGAACTATCATTGAAGGGCCTAAGCACCTGAAAGCACTTAAAAGACCAGGGTCTTATCCTTTATACACACAGAACTTACTGCTAGTAAGTTGCATCCTTCTGCTAAAGTATCTTTTGCTGATCATCTTCCCAGGTGTCCCTGATGCAACCACCCCAGGAGCTCCTTATCACCACCTTTCAGTTCTGCAGTCATGAGCTGGAGCTCTTGCCTCTGCTCCTGAGCAGTGCTGTTCCCTAAGCTTAGGGGCAAGATCCTGTAAAAGGGAACACATGGAACACACCCCAACAGAAAGAAGTGGCAGATTCTCTCATCATAAACTCGAGATTTTAACGTAGGTTAAAATGTTTGTCTTCTAACCGAGAACACTCCAGAAAGTTCCTCATGCCTGTGGTACCACCCCACGGGAACTGACTGAAACCCCTGCAGGCACAATGAGCACGTTCATGCCGAAAATAGAGTGCTGGTGGTTAACTGCTCCTTCACGCTTTACCTGGAGTCGAGCAGAACGTGGCAGCGACTGATCCACAGGGTCCCGGGGGCCTGAGCTGCCACCAGAGCGGCCCCCGCTCCCGGGCCGGCCTGTATGCCCGTGTCCTCCCGCACGGCCGGGCCGCCATCCCTCGGAGGGCCTCCCTCCAATTCCCAGGCCTCCCCCCCATTCCAAGGCCACCCCCTCAATCCCAGGCCTCCCCCCCCAATCCCAGGCCTCCCCATTC